CTGCATTACAAACACGTTTCATCCGAATTTGGAAGGCAGGAAACCAGACTGCAGGCGGGAGGGGGGAGGGGGCCATTTCAGAACCCGACGAGAGACTTCGCCAAGGGCAACACCAGGACGCTCATCATCACGAAGGGCCTTGCACATCCAGGCTTGCGTGACTGTCTCGGGGGCTTCAGGGCAGAGCATGCGGGCACGGGGAGCTGCGCGGACGTACACCTCGTTCATAAAACTCAAAAGCGAATTGGTAAACCACCCACGAAGAAGCCGATGCGGAATCAGATCCCAAGAGACATCATGCGTCTGACGCAATTTATTCTGGAATTCCGCCCAAGCTCACGAGCTCTGAACAGTTCGATACACCGACGCAACAGCGATATGCCTAATGGAGGCACACTGAGTATTACATCCTGCGTCCGTCAAATTAAGCATCATGGGACTGCCGAAGCTATAGCGCGGGCCCGCATGTTGGATTTGATGGGCACGGTCTTCAAGCACGTATAATCTCGCAGTCGGACGATGGAACTGCAAGACGTAACTCAGCACAGTAACAGCACGAGCGTTGTAGGCAACTATCGACTCAGCCAGGCCGGCCCCCACGAGACGAATCTTGCAGACGCGGAAAAAGTACTTGTCACACTGTGTCGGGAAGGAGCGCCAATGAGCCTCGGGGACGACCGAAACACCAAGATAACAACACCATCGAACAACAGAATAGAGCTCGCAGCCACCCCCACTAGAGACCAGGAGCGCACGAATACGAGCCTCATCCCCATATGCGCCCATAAGGAGCATGCATTTCCCGAAGTGCAGCTCCAGCCCGATAGCGTCAGCAAGTGAACAGAGCTTACGGAAGACTGGGATCAAATCAGAGAAGAGGTCGGTCAACAGGAAGCGGAGGTCGTCGGCGTAGCCTGAAAGACCGAACCTAGGTGGTCCTGCGGCAACAAACCACCGACAGACAGGATCCAGGGCCAGGGCAAACAGAAGCATGGACGCGGGCATCCTTGACGAACACCGCGGCCCACGGGGAAGCTGGCCAGAGAGATTCCACAGAAATGGACCCGAGCGAGATTGCCCCGATAAAGGTAATCAAAATATTTAACCGCCCAATCAGGGATACCCATACTCTGCAAAACAAATAGTGCCCATTCGATGATGAGGCTGGGAAGCGCGCCTTTGAATTCCACGAAGAGCTGGGCAGCATCGCCACGGCCTTCAATGCGAGCCAGGAGACCATCACCCTCACAAGCAATAATATTGCCCAGTATCGATCGGCCACGGACCCCACCATACTGAAACTCAAGGATGGTGTGAGTGCTGCCCTGGGCAAGCGGACTAGCGATAGCAGCGGTAATCAACTTGCAATCTGTGCATCCCATAGACAGCAGACGGGTCGAAGACGGTTTCCGAGCGGGAACTGCAGCGGCATCCGTACGATGATCCCCCTTCGCCAAGAGGACGATCAACATCTCATGAAAGTCACCTGGGAGCGGGTCATAAGGATGGTAAACGCAGTTCAGATAGAAATCGTACAACATCGCCTGAGCCCCAGGGTGTTTCCAGCAGCCGCACGGTAGGCCGTCAATCCCAGGCATAGAGTTCCCCGACTTCTTTACAAGGGACCCAAAAGCACCGGCATCGAGGATCCATTCCGGATTCGGACAGAGGACGTCAGCACGCTGGATGCACTGGGAGAGGGTTGGCCAAAGAGAACGGTTGGGGGACTTTGACGCGAAGACAGAACCCCAATGACGAGACAGTTCAGCACCCGCGTGCTGCACCGACGTGCACGGCGCCCCCGTACTCAACCAATATGTTGCCGAGGCAGATCGACTTGTTCAGGCTGCGCCGACGTTCCCTATTGCGCTGCACACGTGCGCGACGGCGTGCTACCTCGTGCTCAGGGAGTTCGCTCGCATGCAAGAGAGCCTCTTCCTCATCATCAAGCAACTGGTTGTTCAGAGATGCCATGTGCGCATGCAACCCCTGAGGATCAACGAACGTGCTAGCGTCAACATCAAAGACGTTGGAGGGCAATGGGTAGGCACGCACTGCACGCGCAACCAGATAGAAAGAGGAAGCACGAGACCCACGCAGGGCAGAGATACATCGATGCAGATGCTCATGGACGGTCGTCGCCAGCCGAGCACGAAGGATCTTACGAAGCTCAGCATGAGCCTCGTGCATAGCCACCTTGGTGCGAGCGAGCTGCAACTGAATCGGGAGGCTCCGATCAATGCTTGCGATCAGCCCATCCAAACACCTCGTGTACTCTTCCGTGGTAGGGGCCCAACCAGGAATCGGGGGGGGACCGTCAGCCGCCCGAGGCTTCGGGGCAATGGCACCCATAACAGGGACGCGGTCGGAAGGGTTCTTGAGGTTAGTGGGCATCCCAATAGTGGCACCAGTCACGACAGGGTCCACGAGCACGGCATGGTGGAATATCCGCATAAACTCGATCCAGACGGGCCGTCGAAACAACCTTGGGACCCAGACAGGCACGACGCGTATCAAGCGGTTGGTAGAGCTCCGTCCAGGAACCGAAAGCAGCATTCCACTCACGAGTAAAGGCCGTGCCCCCCCCCCCCCCCCGAGAGAAAGACCCGTCATCTAAGTTGGACCTCTCTTCATCACTGAAGACAAAATTGAAGTCGCCGAGCGCGGTGCGGGCGGCGGCAGCAGCAGGGAAAAGAGCAGACTGGATGCAAGAGAGACAATGACGATAGTAACCAATCCCAGCATCAACATTCGGTAGGTGCACAACCACAATCCCCAAGAGACCAGCTTCACCCCATCCGAGAACGCACGACGCCTTACCAGGATAGAGAACCTGCTGGGTAGAACCACTGAACTGACAAGCTAGCTTATCGTGCACGCAGACGAGTCTGTCATGACCCTGCAGGTTACCTGGGCGAGGGTTGAAGAAGAACCTGTGAGACGCGAATTCCTTGCGAAGCGACGCCAAGTCACCCTCATGATCATGAGACTCCTGTATACAGACGACGTGGTGGCGACGTAGCAGGGCCGCGAAAAGGCGCCAACGCGCACAAGACCTGGCTTTCATTTTAACCACACTTGCAAACAGGCCCCTGGCATTCCACGTGACGATCGATAGCGGTTTCTTCGGTGGGAAGGGAATGTACAATGTCCCCCCGCACTCCCTAAGCAAGCTTCTGGCCTCGGCGAAACAGCCCTAGCGCAGGAGAGGGGCAACCTCCTGTGTCAGCCACCCAGCCTTCACGGATGCACTAGACTCTGTAGAGACACTGCTAAATACTCAACTGCTGTCATACCTTTGCTACCATCTCCTCATGCTTACCCGCGAGGCCGATCTGCTCGAAGTGACAAGCGGAGGCGATCACACGAGGCTGCTCAAAGACAGCCAAGGGCTTCTGAACGCTGAACAATGTTAGTGCGTCACCTGTCGACTCATTGGCAATGAAGACGAAGCCGTTGCCGACCGACGATTCAACTTTCCACCCTTCGAACTGCGATACCGACTTCACTACCGACTCGACTTCCGCACGAATCTGCCCCATCACCGTAAGCTGCTTGTTAGTCTCCCCATCCCTGAGAGGCTTGAGACGCAGAAAGCGAGGGCCCTTGGGGGTGCTGTAGGCGTAGCCAGCAGGGTAGCTCTTACGAAAGGTCTCGATTATCTCAGACGCAGCGTCACCCGACGGGAAAGCCATAATCACTTTCCTCGAGAAGTTCTGGGGGGTGACCTTCATCTGAGCCAGGACTTCAGCACTGGCACACGACGTGAGAATCTCCTGACACGACTTAAGGAGGACGGCCCTCGTGGACTCATCAGCATAGCCAACAACAATCGTTTTCAAGAGCATGTCCTGGTTACCGCTCCTGGAACGAGCATTGAGACGGGCCTTCTTCGCCGAACTTTCTCTGCTGTCGTCGCTGCTGATGTCGAGGCTGCTGTTGCCGCTGACCGTCGCCGCCGCACGCATCGCTGCTAACGCTGCCTCGGTCTCCTCATTCCTTTACTTCTGCAACATCAGCCCATCCTGCAAGTTCTTCATAGCGACGGCAAGCTCGGAAACCTGCTGTGTCACCTTCGTAAGCGACTCGTTCATCAACCCCACCTGAGCAGTCCACTCCCTGATCGCAAGCTCTGTGGCGTTCGGCGCCATGGCACCGATGATCTGAGCACAGACTGAAAACGAACAAGTGATCCGATCAGGTCGGAGAGAGGGGGAAGCAGAGCAGGGCTGCTATGCCCAGGATTCGAGCAGTCCCCTCAACAGCGACCAAGTTCGAAGCGCCAGGGCCGCACATTTCGAACTTGAGCCAAAATGGCTACGGAGGATATGGATGATGATGATGATGATGACGATGACGATGACGATGCTGATGCTGATGCTGATGCTGATGATGCTGAGGATGGTGGTGGTGATGATGATGACAGTTATGATGGTGATGGTGATGGTGATGGTGATGGTGATGGTGATGGTGATGGTGATGGTGAGGGTGATGGTGATGGTGATGGTGATGATGATGATGATGGTGATGACGATGATGGTGCTGATGGTGCTGATGGTGCTGATGGTGATAATGATGTCGATGATGTTGATGAAGATGACGATGATGATGGTGGTGATGATGATGATGACGATGATGCTGATGCTGATGGTGATGGTGATGGTGATGTTGATGATGACGACGACGATGATGATGATGGTGATGATGATTGTGATGATGATGATGATGATGAAACAACATGTAACGCCCACCGATGCGGATCTTCAAGGTATGAAATGAAGAAGGATAACAAACAAAAACACAAAAAAACAAACAAACGAAAACAAAAAAAAAACGGTAAGGTCAGCTTGGAAGTCGGTTTTCTTCCACCAATGAATCCGCCGAGGGGAAGGAGGAAGGGAAAGGAGGAAGAAGAGAAAATACATAATACGAGGAAGCGTAACAAGAAGAAGAAGAAGAAGAAAGAAGAAGACGAGCAGGTCGATCCTAAGACGGGCCGCCTGAAGGCTTATGCGGTTGATCGCCTCCGGAGAGTTCCCTTCCAACTTGGGCGGCTGGTTGTACTCCGGATCCTCGGGGACGGCGAGTCCTCCTCCTCCTCCTGCTCCTCCCTGTCCTCCTCCTCCTCCTCTCGTCCTCCTCTTCCCTCCTCCTCCTCCTCCTCCTCCTCTTCCTCCTCCTCCTCCTCCTCCTCCTCCGAGAGAGAGAGAGAGAGAGAGAGAGAGCGAGAGAGAGAGAGGCGGACTGGCGCTGGCCCGCGGAGGCAGAGCGAGTGAGCAGGAGGAGGGCCGACGGGAAGAGAGAGAGAAGGAGGGGGAGGAGGAGGAGGAGGAGGAGGAGGAGGGGGAGGAGGAGGAGGAGGAGAGGAGGAGGAGGAGGAGGAGGAGGAGGAGGAGGAGGAGGAGGAGGAGGAGGAGGGGGAGGAGGAGGAGGAGGAGGAGGAGGAGGAGGAGGAGGAGGAGGAGGAGGGCATTTGCAGCCTACTTGCAGACGGACGGGCCCCGAAACAGCTGCGGCCTTACCTCGGAGGCGTCCCGGGGCACCGCTTTGCGCGGAAAACGGCCAAGGGCGGCAGCGACGACGCCAGGCCCGTGTGCTCCGGCGAGACCATCCGCAGAGCAGTAGGCAATAGACGAGCGCGTTCCACTACTCGCAAAGTAACTACTCGCAAATGGCCTGGATCCGCCGCGGGAGATCTACGAGAAAGTACATCGAAGCAGACGTGTGCTTTTTGGACGTTTGCGAATAGGCCCCTTGCGAGTAGTGGAAGGCGTTCGGTGAGGCGCTGCTGGCCACGGAGCTTGACGCACTCCAGGCTCACCTGCAGCCTCTCCAGCTGGCCGTGGGTGTCCGTGCCGGAGCGGAGGCGATGCCGCACATGGTGCGGCAGTGGCGCGACGATTACAACGGGGACGTGGACTGCATCATGTTGAACAGCGACCAGGCCAATGCCCACAACGAGGTGGACAGACACACTTTCCTGACCAGAATGCGCGAAGTGGCTCCAGGTCTCGCGCGGTGGCTCGACTACATATGCCCCAAGGAGACGCCCACGCTGGTGTTCTACAGAGAAAGGACCATTGACAGCGCCTCGGGGGGACAGCAAGGCTGCCCTCTCATCGGGGCGTGCCACGCACTGGCCCAGAGTATGCTGAACGAGTCGCTCGGATTGGTGCCCGTCCCGGCTGGCACGGCAGTGCAGCTCCCTGTGCTGAGCCCCCCAGTCGCCCTCGACTTGCCCCAGGCTTCGCCGATGACGCACGAATCGCTGGGCCTTCGGCAGAGGTGCTCCGAGCCCTCAAGCACCTCGAAGTTGTGATACCAGCGACAGGTCTTCGCTTCTCCACCTTGCAGATGATCCCGGCCGCTGGCGCACGCAGCGGTCGACTTCGCAGAGTTCGTGGCTTTAGGGTGCGACGCCCTTGCAGATGGGAACTGCGAGGTGCTCAAGTCCCCAGTGGGCGACGCCGTGCACTGCCAGGCCTTCTGCGCGAAGCAGGTGCGGAAGCAGCAGGGCATCATCCAGTACCTGGCAGACCTCCAGGACCCGCAGGTGACGCACTACTTGATGGCACACTGCGTGAACGCGGGCAGAATGAATTACATGGCGCGCACCACGCCTGCGAGGCACCTGGGGGGCGAGGCGCGGCGCTACGACGAGAGTGCGCTCGAGGCGGCAGAGGCTGCCGTGAACCAGCGCTGGTCTGACAGGCAGCGCGAGCAGGCTTCCTTCGCGACCTTGGCTGGTGGCCTCGGCTTGCAGAAGATCTCAGTCGAGATGGACGCGGCCTGCGTTGGCTCGCGCGCGCTGACCCACGACCTGTGCGCGATGATCCGGCCAGGGCATCAAGTGGGACGTCGACGTCGCCGGTGCCCTGCTGGCGGACGCGATGTCCAGGATCGCGGGTTCCGTTGGAGCCGAAGTCTTTGCGGTCGAGCCACGGCAAGCTTTGACCCTAACGCACCTCGGGGCGCGCTTCGGAAGAAAGCGGTGGCCGCGTGGAGAGACGCAGGGCCACTGGCAGACGGAACGCGGCTGAACGCGTAATCTACGCAAGGAGCGGGTGCTCAATACGAGTTCACCCCGTCCAAGACACTTGACATGCAGTTCACTGCGAGCCAGTTCGGCGACAACGTCGCGCTTCGGCTCGATGTCGATGTCTTGGAGGCGGGGACCACCTGTCCTCTGTGCGGGGTTGCCTTGGATGCCCAGAGAATCCCTTGCGTCTACTGCATCGGGGGCCCTGAAACCACAGGCACGCGTAACGCCATCCGCAGTGTCTTTTACGACTAACCGAGAAGAGTCTTTACAAAAATTACCCTGCGACGTACCCAACACTTTCTACACATGTGGCGATGAATTCAGGACCGCTCAATGCAAGCCCCCCAGGGAGCGGCGAGGTCCCGAAGTGATCCGCGTGGGACGTACCTCCGCTGGGCCTTCCAGGAGCCTACGAAGTGCCGACAGTTGCGCAGATCGCAAGCCCCCCAGGGGGCGGCGAGTTCCCGAGGTGGTCCGCGTGGGACGTACCTCCGCTGGGCCTCCCAGGAGCCCACGCAAGTGGCGACAGTTGCGCAGATCGCAAGCCCCCCAGGGGGCGGCGAGCTCCCGAGGTGGTCCGCGTGGGACGTACCTCCGCTGGGCCTCCCAGGAGCCCACGCAAGTGGCGACAGTTTCGCAAATCGCAAGGCCCCCAGGGGGCGGCGAGCTCCCGAGGTGGTCCGCGTGGGACGTACCTCCGCTGGGACTCCAAGGTGCCCACGAAAGTGGCGACAATTATGCAGATCGCAAGCCCCCCAGGGGGCGGCGAGGTCCCGAGGTGGTCCGCGTGGGACGTGCCTGCGCTGGGCCTCCCTGGAGCCCACGAAAGTAGCGACAGTTGCGCAGATCGCAAGCCCCACAAGGGGCGACAAAGTCCCGAGGTGATCTGCGTATGACGTACCTCCGCTGGGCCTCCCAAGTGCCCACGAAAGTGCCGACAGTTCCGCAAATCGCAAGCCCCCCGGGGGGCGGCGAGGTCTCGAGGTGGTCCGAGTATGACGTACCTCCGCCGGGCCTCCCGGGAGCCAACGAAAGTAGCGACAGTTGCGCAAATCGCAAGGCCCACAGGGGGCGGCGAGGTCCCCAGGTGATCTGCGAATGACGTACCCCCGTTGGACCTCCCAAGAGCCCACGAAAGCGCCGACAGTTGTGCAGATCACAAGCCCCCCAAGGGGCGGCAAAGTCTCGAGGTGGTCCGCGTATGACTTACCTCAGCTTTGCCTCCCAGGAGCCCACGGATATAGCGACAGTTGCGCAGATCACAAGCCCTCCAGGGGGCGGCGAGGTCCCGAGGTGATCCACGTATGACGTACCTCCGCCGGGCATTCCAAGAGCCCACGAAAGTGGCGACAGTTGCGCAGATCGCAAGGCCCCCAAGGGGGCGGCGAGGTCTCGACGTGGTCCGCGTATGACGTACATCCGCTGGGCCTTCCAGGAGCCTACGAAAGTGCCGACAGTTGCGCAGATCGCAAGCCCCCCAGGGGGCGGCGAGGTCCCGAGGCGATCTGCGTATGACGTACCTCCGCCGGGCCTCCCAGGAACCCACGAAAGTGCCGACAGTTGCGCAAATCGCAAGGCCCCCAAGGGGCGGCGAGGTCTCGACGTGGTCCGCGTATGACGTACATCCGCTGGGCCTTCCAGGAGCCCACGAAAGTGCCGACAGTTGCGCAGATCGCAAGCCCCCCAGGGGGCGGCGAGGTCCCGAGGCGATCTGCGTATGACGTACCTCCGCCGGGCCTCCCAGGAACCCACGAAAGTGCCGACAGTTGCGCAAATCGCAAGGCCCCCAAGGGGCGGCGAGGTCTCGACGTGGTCCGCGTATGACGTACATCCGCTGGGCCTTCCAGGAGCCCACGAAAGTGCCGACAGTTGCGCAGATCGCAAGCCCCCCAGGGGGCGGCGAGGTCCCGAGGCGATCTGCGTATGACGTACCTCCGCCGGGCCTCCCAGGAGCCCTCGAAAGTGCCGACAGTTTCGCAAATCGCAAGGCTCCCAAGGGGCGGCGAGGTCCCGAGGTGGTCCGCGTATGACGTACCTCCGCTGGGCCTCCCACAAACCCACGAAAGCGCCGACAGTTTCGCAAATCGCAAGGCCCCCAGGGGGCGGCGAGGTCCCAAAGTGGTCCGCGTATGACGTACCTCCGCTGGGCCTTTCAGGAGCCCACGAAAGTGCCGACAGTTGCGCAGATCGCAAGCCCCCCAGGGGGCGGCGAGGTCCCGAAGTGATCTGTGTATGACGTACCTCCGCCGGGCCTCCCAGGAGCCCACGAAAGTGCCGACAGTTTCGCAAATCGCAAGGCCCCCAAGGGGCGGCGAGGTCCCGAGGTGGTCCGCGTATGACGTACCTCCGCTGGGCCTCCCTGAAGCCCACGAAAGTGCCGACAGTTGCGCAGATCGCAGCCCCCCAGGGCACCGCGAGCTATAGTGGTGATCTGCGCATGACGCACCTCCGCCGGGCCTCCCAGGAGCCCACGAAAGGGTCGCAGCCCCTAGGCACGCCCCAACAGACAAAACCGCGAGGCAGGAATTAGAAACCGGACGGCACGAGGGAAGAGGAGAAGGGAACACAGGAAACAGGAGAGGAGGAGGAGAGCAGAGGAGGACTCGGCAGCAACATAGCGATTGGCGCCATACCATTGCCTCGAAGCCTGAACGGTGGCACTGATGCACGGTCGTCGCGCTGCAATCCCAGCCGGCGGCGCTCTTATTCCGACCGCAGGGCGGGCCGACAAAGAAACGCGGGCCAGGGACGGAACGGGGACAGGCTGGAAAGCGAAGAGCCGAGGAGCGAGAAAGGGAGGAGGCGAAGGAGGGACGACCACAGGAAAGGACCGACCGGGCCGACGGACAGAGGGACGGGAGACGGAGAGAGGCAGCCAAGCAGGGAGAGAGAGAGAAGGACAGGACACGACACACAAGGGGGAGGACACACGGGGGCGAGAGGGGGAGGACACGGAGAGAAGAAAGGGAGAGGGAGGGAAGCAAGGAGCCAGAGACAGGGCAGGCAGGAGGGACACACAGGGACAGCGGG